CCCGTCCCACCATCACTCTTATTAAAGTCTCTAGTAATAATAATATCTATTTACTACAAGTACATGTACAAGGTATACAGACCATAGCTGACATCAATGACACTACTATATACAAATCCGCTTGTTATGCTGAGCATTTCCTGCAAATCAGGTCAGTTTTGTCCCAGGATGCGACCCACACCAGTCAACTAACACCCAGGTACCCATTTTAAACTGATGGGTAAACAGGGACAGCAGGTGTCTTATGGAAACACGTCCCTAATGTTTTCCAGCCGTACCGGAGGAGATTCGACCCCCAGACCTCAGTGTGTGAGCTGAGTCCGCTAGCCATCCACTTACGGGACACCGAAGTAGGCGGTATTATACATCTATACAGTGTTCCTGAGGTCAGGTACATGTAGGCACACATTACTCGAACTTTGTGTATGTTTAATATTAGGTAACCCTCGTTTCAACATTCTTATATACATATATATATATAAACACTGATCTCTGGCTGAAGGAGACTCGAACCTACGAACCTTGGAACAAGGTACGCAGTGCTTTACCAATGCGTACCTTGTTCCAAGGATCGTAGGTTCGAGTCTCCTTCAGCCAGAGATCAGTGTTTGTGTATATTTCGCCTGCTCTTGCGAATTCCTTGCATATACATATTTTAATATATATATATATATATATATATATATATATATATATATATATATATATATATATATATATATATATATATATATATATATATATATATATATTATATATCGTGCCGAACAGGTAAAAATTGGCCAGTTAGCAAGAACTCATTTAAAATAAATCCTTTCTAAACTTTTCTCTTATACGTTTAAAGAGAATGTAGAGCAGCTGCATGATGGGTATACTATTAAAATATTTGCTAGACAAGTTAGAATCAAGTTCAAAGAGCTACAGAAGAACTACCATAGATGAAACAGTTATGTAGATTCTGACTGAAGGTTGAAAACACTAAGAATACCCAGGTTGGTGGAGAAGATGAGACATGATAATATATATGTAAGGTTATACCAGGACATGATAGCTATATGTAAGGTTATACCAGGACATGATAGCTATATGTAAGGTTATACCAGGACATGATAGCTATATGTAAGGTTATACCAGGACATGATAGCTATATGTAAGGTTATACCAGGACATGATAGCTGTATGTAAGGTTATACCAGGACATGATAGCTATATGTAAGGTTATACCAGGACATGATAGCTATATGTAAGGTTATACCAGGACATGATAGCTATATGTAAGGTTATACCAGGACATGATAGCTATATGTAAGATTATACCAGGACATGATAGCTATATGTAAGGTTATACCAGGACATGATAGCTACATGTAAGGTTATACCAGGACATGATAGCTACATGTAAGGTTATACCAGGACATGATAGCTAAAATGTAAGGTTATACCAGGACATGATAGCTATATGTAAGGTTATACCAGGACATGATAGCTACATGTAAGGTTATACCAGGACATGATAGCTACATGTAAGGTTATACCAGGACATGATAGCTACATGTAAGGTTATACCAGGACATGATAGCTACATGTAAGGTTTATACCAGGACATGATAGCTATATGTAAGGTTATACCAGGACATGATAGCTACATGTAAGGTTATACCAGGACATGATGGCTATATGTAAGGTTATACCAGGACATGATAGCTACATGTAAGGTTATACCAGGACATGATAGCTACATGTAAGGTTATACCAGGACATGATAGCTACATGTAAGGTTATACCAGGACATGATAGCTACATGTAAGGTTATACCAGGACATGATGGCTATATGTAAGGTTATACCAGGACATGATAGCTACATGTAAGGTTATACCAGGACATGATGGCTATATGTAAGGTTATACCAGGACATGATAGCTACATGTAAGGTTATACCAGGACATGATGGCTATATGTAAGGTTATACCAGGACATGATAGCTATATGTAAGGTTATACCAGGACATGATAGCTGTATGTAAGGTTATACCAGGACATGATAGCTATATGTAATTTTATACCAGGACATGATAGCTATATGAAGGTTATCCAGGACAGAAGCTATATGTAAGGTTAAAAACCGGGACATGATGCTATATGTAAGGTTTCCCGGGACATAAGCTATAAAAGGGTTTTATACCGGGTCTGATAGCATATGAAGGTTATACGGACATGATGGCTATAGAAAGGTTATACCAGGACATAAGCTATATGTAAGTTATACCGGACATGATAGCTATAGTAATTTTTATCCCGGACGATAGCTAATGTAAGGTTAAACCAGACATGATGCTACTTAAAGGGTTTATCCCAGGACATGATAGCACATTTAAGGTTTTATCCAGGAATGATAGCATATGTAAGGTTAACCAGGACATTCAAATTTTAAAAGGTTTTACCGGGACTAAGCTACTGTAAGGTTATACCGGGACTATAGTAAGTAAGGTTAACCGGACATGAAGCTAATTAAGGTTATACCGGAATGATACTCATGAAAGGTTAACCAGGACATGATAGCTATATGAAAAGGTTTTATACCAGGCATAATTTAAATAAAAAAGACTTTTTAAAGGGTTTGCAAACGGAAGAAGACCCCACAGTTACTAGAGATTGACTATTGGGGACAGAGAAATTAAACAAAAGTGTTACAAAAATTTTAAATTTATTTTTTTAACAATCGCCGTTCCCACGTGGAGGGCACCCGAAAAGAAAGAAAAAAAGTCCATCATTCAAACTTTCACCATCACCTACAAATCACTGTCTTTGCAGAGGTGCCCAATACGACGTTTAGATTTCCTCCAAACTGCCATTCCCCGCCCCTCCTTTTAAAGAGCAGGCTTGTACTTTCCACCTCCAGGGTCAAGTCCGGGTAACGGGTTTCCCTGAACCCCTTTCCAAAAAATTACCCTGCCCCACCCAACCTTGCAGGGCCCCAAAAAACCCTTCGTCTCCTTCACTCCCCATCTAACATGCAGTTGGCCATTTTCTTTCTCCATGGGAGTGAAGTGGGAGAGGCAGGATTTTATTTATTCAAGAAGGGTAGACAAGGCTCTTGGAGCCGGAGGGGAAGAGTGGACCTATAAAACCGGGAAAAGGCGAGGCCCGGGGGCTTGGCTCGTCCCCTCAACGACATAAGAGGGAAGTAACACCAACCAAGGGGTAAGACCACTCCACACATCACTTCCAAAATTATGACACTGCTGTTCCTTGTAGTTTTTGCATAGCTGTCAAACACTGTGCCAAGCCAGGTTCAGGGCGCCAAGCCAGGGTCAAGGTGCCAAGCCAGGTTCAGGGTGCCAAGCCAGGTTCAGGGTGCCAAGCCAGGGTCAAGGTGCCAAGCCAGGTTCAGGGTGCAAAGCCAGGTAGTATACTTAGATAATCCCAGCTATGTTATAGATAGGCTCCCTGGCTAGTTGTGACGTCACGAGCCCCTCACAAAGGTCAGTCCCTCAGCCTGGAGGAGACTTTTGTTCCAGAGTCTGGAACAATGTGAAGTCTAAGCGACGGTATGGAGACTTATATACTGTCAGAAGGAGAGGTGTTGTCCAGTACTGGACTACATCACTCCTTTGGTATTGTATACCATTTTGATATTCAGCAGAGATGATGTTTATATACTGATAACAGTTGAAACACTGCTCCACCTCATCCTACACCTCCTCCAGGATTGCTCCCGGGTTCCTCGGTTATGAGACGACGGCAGTCCCACAGCCACAAGCCAGCATAGCAAACACAAAACCGAGACTTCAGCATTATAAAATACTTGCATGACAATTCTTATCCCTTCAAGGAATTAACCGCGATTAGCCGGGGAATCGAACCCGCATTATTTTAGCCCGCCTCGTGGGAAGCCAGGCAAAATCCACGAGGCTCTAACCACTAAGCCATCAGTGCTACAAACATCAGGTACCCAGTACCACTGGGTATGTTTCCTCACGTACGTGGCTGTGGTAACCTCAGAACTAAGTTCATTCTACTCTCGTTCGTAGATGCATTAATAATACCTACAAGGATAAGGTTTTCTACATAAGTGAAAGGCTCTTGATCCGAGGGACTGATTCATGGAATACCTGACAGGAAGGAATCGAAGAATGTCCGGAAAGAAGTGTTAGAATGGGATAACATGACGCGTGGGGTTCCACAATAGTTAGTACTGTGACTAACTTTCTGGTGTTGGTGAACGACATGTTGGCTCAAGGAGGGACCTGCTGGCTCGAGATTTTCGCAGATAATTTTTAACTATTAAGGAATATCACACAAATAACCCGCACATAAGAGAGAGGAGCTTACGACGACGTATCGGTCCGACTTTGTAAATGGTCCAAGTCGGACCGAAATGTTGTGATAAGCTCCTCTCCCCTATGTGCGGGTTGTCTGTGTGTT